AACCGTGAGATAAATGTGCAAACACCAATTAAAATTGATAAAGTAACCATACAAAGAACACCATAGAATGTTTGTGATCAAGAGTTACACCGATGACATTTCTTGGTGTAACTCTTGATCACAAGCTTTGCTGGAAACCCCACATTGATAAAATTAAAACCAAAATTGCAAAAGTTATAGCCTTGATGAACAAATCTAAATTTCTACTAAATAAGAAACCCATGTATACAATCTACTGTACTATATTATATGTACTGTATGTTGAATTTTGGGGACCTGGTAAAATGGAAAACATGCCAAATCTCGTTTAACGCGAAACTCAATGTGCGCCCAGATAACATACCAAAACTATTTTGCACAAATGAACTCATATACAACCTGAGAGGTCAAATGAAAAATAAATCTCTCAAAGCACTCTCAAAAGAGTGTGTGTTACCATATCAAAGTTTGTACTAAGTTTATGCCCTAGTTTATAGAATAAACTGTATATAAAAACTAAATTGTACAGAAATACCAAGAAGACTATTGTCTTCTCAAATAAACTATGACTATTAACTAAATACTTCTATGCTTTTCTTTATCATTACCTTTATTTTTGATACGATCAGAAACGATAAACTTTTGTGCCTTTTTTATCATTATTATTACTTTGTACTAGCCTGATTCATCAACCAGTTTCACTTCGTGGAAACCGTCTCACTTTGCAGCAGTAGGATTCATTTGCTCGACGGTAGGCGGGAATTTTTATTTTTTTTATTTAACCAATCGCTGCTATTTGGTTGTGACGTATGTAATGTGCCAGAAGAAGGGCTATAACATCTTTCCCCTTGATAAAATTCACCAAACATTCTCTTTGTTCCGGCTTTGAATCCTCGATCTCAGAAATTGTTGCCAACACAGAATGTATGGCTTCGTCCACATCTATCTCGACCGCTTCGTTTACTGTCGCTGTACAACAAAAAGGGACCCACTCATGGCTTCACAGCTCTTCGTTGATTGGCCAGTGCATGGTCTAGAACTTTCAGGGTTTTGCAAACGGTCTGGTGTATTCTGATTCCTGACCCAGTCGCGGGAGAGAAATGAAATTGAGCGGAGGCACTTGGTGGCACCATCCTGGCTAACAGCCATAAAAGAAAACAAAAAATCTGTATAACTAAAACAAACAGGGCCACACCGACATACTTCAGACTATTTTAGCATCAATACAGACTATTTTGTTTGTGAAAAACGTGCAGAAGGTAAACACTTTATGCATTTGTGTGCTTTTCTCTCAACTGGATGTAAAGTTCGATGTTGTGACACTTGGTCCCGTCAGATTCAAATAATCGTCAAAAGGTTGCACATTTTCCGATCTCTTTCAGTGAGCGCTGTTCCAGAATGATAATGTGTAAGACTCAATTTAGACTGACACTTGTATCAATCTGGCATGAGGCAGTTTAAACAAGAATACAAAAGTCAAAAGTATGGATGAGTGGGATTTGTTGTAAAAAATGAAAATATTTATCCTAAAGGTGACCAAAAGTAAAGCCACAAGAATGCATAATATCTTTGTTAAAGGTGATGGCAAAATACAACATGTACTTTAATCATTCATGGCTCCAAGATTTACACACCGTCACCACAAATCGCGCGTTCTGTTGTCTTCTGTCCACCTCTTTATCGCCTAGCCCCATCCTTTCATTCACAATGCATCGTCCCTTGCCCCATTCAGAGCCATGTTAGCTTACCAGGCTGTAAAAGTCACATCGGCAGCTGTACAAACACCGATGACCCCCCCACTGTCAATGTACCCGAGAAGACCCCCCGCTGTTCAATCACTTCACGGCCAATGTTACCACTATACGCAGCGGCTCCAAAGCGGTCGCCATGGCACCCAAGTCGGGCCAAGAGGTGCAGAATGTGAGGGGAAAAGGTCCCGGGGAGAGATGATGGAATGATGATGAAAAAGATAAAAAAGATGATGATGAAGTAGATGGTAGATGTGGAAAGAAAAATAATAAAGAGTAGAAATTTGAATATTGTGTGGGAGATTGGTAGACAGAGGTTTATCATATTGACACACATTTTACATATACTGTATATCGGGTTAAATTATGAATTGTGTTGAAAATGTATATTCTTTATTCATCTTTACTGTCACGGTTTGTAAAGAAAGACTATTAAAATCTGTCAGTATTGAACGCACTTATAAGTCAGTTAGGTAGTTCAAATCATATTCTTATATTCTTACATTTATGAAGTTATAAATCACAATATATTGTAAAAATCTACTATTCTACCAATTTCTCCTCATGTACGGAGGAGTTTTTATTTACTACACTACTGTCAATCAAAAGTTTGGACACACTTTTTTCATTTCATTTTTTTTTTTTTTTTTTTTTTTCATGACTCTTCACATTGTAGATTCTCACTGAAGCATTAAAACAATTAATGGAGACATATGGACTACAGTAAAACAACACTCAAAATAACTCAGAAGATGTTTTAGATTTTTGATAAAATCCACCCTTTGCTTTGATCACTGCTTTGCACTTCTGGCATTTCTTGACCCTCATTGAGAGAAAGCCATGGTTTGCAGTGCTGTTGACAATTCAACTTTTTATTTATTTTATTATTTGACAAAGCAAAGGGTGGACACTATGTGGAAACTAAAATATATTAAATGTCTTCATGTCTTGTCTATGTATCCAAAATGTAAAAAGTAGTAGCAAAAAGGAGAGACACGTTATTGTACCCAAGGGAATTTCAAGTTTTGCAGCAGAAAACTGTTGCAGTTGCTGTGGCTGCAACATTTCCACTGTGCGTCTCAGTGTCCTTTGTGTCTCAGTCGCAGGTCTGAGTGTAGTTTAACAGGAGAACTGGTCAGGGAGGGTCAGTAGATCCTGTGGAAGAGTCAAAAGTGTCCCTCCTCTGTGTCCTGCAGCATCACAGTAGTGTCCAGGGGGAACCAGGTGAACACAACAGAAAAGGACTCATTCTTACTCTGTTCTGGTGTTTCGGTTGGTGATGAAATGGTTTATTCCTTCAAAGTGTTTCCTTTTCTGCCACATTTGCTGCCACATATGGTGTAAAAAGCCTGTAGCATCTCAAATGATAGCTCCTCAGCTAACTCCTCAGCTAGCCTCTTACACATTCTCCATGAATACAGGAAAAACAAACCCCTTTGACAAAATTCAACAGTCCATTACTTGTGTCCTTTGAACTGCACATGCTGTACTTCTTAGTTAAAATTCCATGATGTGATGATTAATCAAAGACACTAACTAACTAAATGAGAAGGTGTGTCCAAACTTACCAGGTAGTGTATTTTACAGGTTTTATATCATATTAAATCTAGGAGGTTTAATTAATGTTTCCATTATGTATTCCTTTGGTGCTTATGCGTGGTGCCAGATTACACCCTACAGCTCGAGCACCTGTCACAGCCATCTCACCCCCCCATCCCCTCACGGCATCTGGCCCTGTCTGCCTCTTGGACAGTGCTGTTAGGATTTTTCTACCCATCACTACGTAAAATGTCAACAAAAGATATTTTATACAAGCTTGGCTGTTGAGTTTTGCGACATTATGCATTTACTGTCTCCATTTATAGATTTTCATATTCTATATATTCTGTATATATACACTTTGGAGTTTTTTTCTCAATTTAATCTTAATTCCTTCAAGTATTCACCTTTGCTTTGTTCTTTGTTGACAGCCTTGCTTTGCCTTCTTTCACTGAGCTCGTGAAATGGTTTACACTTCACAGGCGTGCCTTGTCAACTTTCATTAGTGGAATGCCAAAAGGGGGCAAAAGTGATCAAAGCAAAGGGTGGCTATTTTGAACAATCTTATTATCGTATTTTTTGGACTATAAGTCGCTCCGGAGTATAAGTCACACCAACCAAAAAATGTGTAATGAAGAAGAAAACACATATAAAAGCTGCACCGGACTATAAGTCACACTTTTGGGGGGACATTTATTTCATAAAATCACAAACCAGGAACCTACATTTCATCTTGAAAGGCAAGTTCTAGTAATAACAATAGAACAGAGAGCAACAGGCTGTTAACGTCACACATGAACAGTTCTTCAGATAACTATAACATAAACAACAGAACAGAACAAGTTTACCAAACTCTCCATCTCACTCCAAATCGTTAAATCCACTGAATTCTTCATCTTCTGTGTCACTTCTGAGCAACTCCGCGATCTTCGGAGGTAAACAGAGCGCCGCTTCCTCTTCTGTGTAGCTGTCGTCAGACTCAGCGTAAGTTCCAGTTAGAATTATTCGGGCCTTTCTGAATCCCGACAGGATGGTTTCGGTGTCACTGAAGTCCTGGCTTTGTCCATCCATCCAGTGACTTCCAGGAAAGTTGCATGGTGCACCCTCCCAGTGTCACAAGTTTCTCTCTCACTCCAAACTTTCTGCTGCTCGATGACCGTTTTCAGCTGCATATTTCTCTACTTGCAGCTTGTAATCTGCAAAATGTGCTTTTCTTTTTGGGGGCATTTGTGTTCAGTCTTCTCAGTTGTCTTTTTAAGCTTGTTTACTTTTAAAATTTTACATGGTACAGAAGTAATGGTGCGATCGACTGGCATGATACCAGACAGGACAGCAGCTCTTTCTGCAGGAGACATGCACAATAGTGACAGTAGTAGACACTGGCACATAAGCCTAGAGAGCCCTCTCATGCCTGTCAGTGTGAAAACGTTAATATATAAGTAGCAGGACCGTGCAAACCATGAAAAAAAGTGCAATTTATAGTCCAAAATATACGGTATTACTTCAGTAAATAATCTATATTGTAAATAGCCATGAATATAAAGAAAACCATTGAATGAAACATGTGTCCAACCTTTTGACTTGTATTGTACAACAAGTACTATTGTACAACAAGCACTATCTAACACATAAATAAACCTTCATATTCTGAATTCAAGTGATTTCTGTACCTCGTGTAGAATTTCTTATATGGACTGAGTCTTACTGAAGAAATGTATTGCGATGTGTTCTCACCAGCATTGGCATTGCGAGGTCTGCGAAGTAAACAAAGGCGGCTCCCAGTGCGAATCCCACCGCCACAGGAACAAAGGCAAAATCTCCATATTTCCTCGAGTCCTCCGCCATGCTGATCGCAGGAGCCAGCAACGACCAGTATGAAGCAGCTAGCATCACCTGAGTCAAAAAATAGAGAAACGTTAATCAATATCACATGGCCTGTTCAGGTTGCTTCAAAAGTGTGGACCCTCACTTACTGCTCCATTCATTCCACATGGGGATTTACAGAAGCCAATTTAATGGTGCATGATGTAACTTTTTGGTTGCACGACCATCACCTGCTTGTTTCTATGGATATGTCATTGCTCTGCCACAGTATGACATTAAACAGCTCTTTCTTACATTTATTTAATTACAGGTGGTTTTATAGCTCAAAAATAACTAGAAAAAACAGGCATTCTGACTCTGAGCGAGGATGCCTCTCCACAGACCTGACCTGTCACTTGGTCTGGTTTGGTCTCAGTGAAAGATCAGAGAAAAGTTTTTTACCATACTGTGATACATCCCAGACAAAGCAATAACCTCTCCACGGAGAAAAGCGTTTGACGGAGCCTCCACTAGAAAAGTTACACTATGCACTTTTAAGTAGAACTAAACTCTAAATCTAAAATACATGTTGAAAAGCATTATCTACTGTTCCAAATCATGTATGTACTCATGTGACTTTTTTTTTTTTTTTTTTTTTCAAACTTGGTAAATTTGCATCTTTTTTTGCTTAAAACATTCTAACTTGGCACAATCCAACCACACCCGCTAATTTGTATGACATGTTTCTCAAAGGACATCTTTTGAAAATTCTCATATCATTCATAACAGAATATATAGAACTTTTTTTACCTGAGATAAATAATTTGTTTTCAATTGTTGATTCTGCAGAAATCTGTGCTGAGTCCTGTCAGAATAATTTTATTATCCCATATTTGCTAAATACTTGTGTGATATTCTATGCCTATGAGTTAACCATTTATGTAACTACAATTCTTTGATTTATAATGTACCAATCACTTGTCACTTGTTGAATAACCTCTGTGTGTTTGACAACTGTGTGCAGTGTCCTATCGCTCTAGTGAACCTCGAGATGATTCCTCACATGAAGCCAACTTCCACTGTCACACATGCAAGAGTTATGATGGTGTCTGTCCATACCTAAGGCACCTCCTGATTGTTAATCATGTTTTATGTGTTTGGACTATGCATAGCTGCATCAGTTTCTTATTATGTCTTGGCTGTTTCCCCTTCCCCTTGAGAATTATCATTCTGTAACTAGGGCCTCCTAATGAAATAAAAAGAGGAGAGCGGCCTTGAGTCATCAGAACGTGTGGAGACTGTTGGTTGTGATGCCCACTCTCTGCCCGTTCTCCTCGCGAGTAAAACTGAATTAATCTCTTGTCTTTCTTCTTGTTTATAATGTTTAGATAAACCTAACATTTACTTGGTGGAGATGCCGGATCCCAAAACACCTGAGGACTCCAACGGACGTTAAGAATCCAGAAAGACCGTGGCCACGGCCCTCTGCTACGAGGTGACATACCCTTTCCGGGCTGGTTATCTTCTCGCCGGTTGGAGTCTGACGGTTGACGGGAGGCCGAGGGAGAAAGGCAACAGACAGTGAGTAGGCCTTTTGTTAAAAAGCGAGTGACTGGGGGTCATTGCGCGTAGAGAAACCCTATAAATCCTAGGCTCTAATAGGTGAAAGGGCGGCGGAGCCCCACTACTAGATGTAATTTGACAGGCTAGTGAGTAAAAGTCCGTTTATACAGGATGGCGGAGTCCTCCCGGGTTAAATTCCGTAGATAATGTGAAGGATGCCTGAGTCCTCCCAGGGTTAATTTCCGTTGGCGCCGAGAAAATAAGAAAATAAATAAAAATTTAAAAACTGAAAATAATAAAAACTGAGTGTGAATGGTTGTGTGAATGGAAGATAATAACCACTAGGTTGTTGTCCTCGTACCAATCGATTGAGAAAGGAAATAGTGAGTCTTTGTGGATGTAGAGACAAGATTTCTCCACCTTGACGGGTTGAAGTGAGAAATACCACAAAGATAATTTAATCACTATCTCAATCAAGAAAAGTTAAACCAGTTCTTAGAGACCTCCCTAAGGAGTGATTAAGGACTGGTCACAAATTCTAATTTAATATGGGTAACAAACACTTTCTACAGGGAAAGACTTTTGAGAGTTATCAGGTTGAAGTGTACACAGAAGACATTATAATGCTAGTCAGCTACCCTGAGAAATGTCTAACTCGCAGACCAGAGTGAGATTAAGTATACAGCTTGGACAGCTGAGGTGTAAAAAGGCCGTAGAAGGCATTTTGGATAAAATGGAAATGGAAACAAAATAGCCTGGAGTTTTGAGGGGAACGACTGCTACTTGATCAGTGCCTCAGAGAGAACTAAAACTAGATAAGAAACTGGTAATTATGGTGAATTTCCAGCAAACAAAAAGAAGATGAAAAACGACTTCATGATCACACACAATTAGAAAAGAACGCAGTATCAACAAACTCAAAAAAATAAAAAAAATAGCAGAAAGCAGAAAGGAAAAAGCAACTTGTATCATTTTTAGGCTTACAAATTATTGCAAAAAAACTGCTGCCCACTGCATAAATTAATTATGAGAGAAAATGCCCTTGGACAGCAAATTGGTTAGACAAACTGAACAAAGCCAGAACTTAAACTGAGAGCCTGTGTCTGAAAAGAAAAAAGCAGGAAAATAAACGGGTAATGTATCATCACAAAATAAAAACAATAAAGTTGGCAAGAGAGTGCAGGCATACTGGGAATCTGTGCCAAACGTCAAGGTTAGAGATACGTCGCTGCACTGTTTACTCCTGCCAAAAGTTTTTGTCAACACACCAAGGGGTCAGCAGTGGACCTCTACCCAACATAGGCCTAAGGTGGAGGGACAAATTTACCCGAATATTATACGACTTATGGATTCAATAATTACTCAAAAAACTTTTGTAGAGCATGTTTAATTTGTGCTAAACATAATTCACAAGGAAATCTGAGACCAAAAAGAGGACAATTTCCACAGGCTCAATATCCGTTTGAAATAATCCATATGGATTTTATAGAGCTCAATCAAAGTGAAGGAAAAATATTGTTTAGTAATAATTGATGCATTTTCCAAATGGATAGAATTATTTCCAACTAGAAATCCCGACGCTCTGACTGTGGCTAAAGCACTGTGTAAAGACATTATACCAAGATTTGGTTTACCAGAGAAAGTCTATAGTGATAATGGAACTCATTTTGTAAATAACTTGATATCTCATATAGGTAAACTATTCCATATCGATTTGAAAAATCACTGCGCATACCACCCTCAGAGCGCTGGGCTAGTAGAAAGAATGAATGGTACAATAAAAAACAGACTGAAAAAATGTATGGAAGAAACAGGGCGACCATGGACCCAGTGTTTAGATTTAGTCAAACTGTATATAAACATTACTAGTACCACAGGCCTAACCCCATACCAAATAATATTTGGAAGAACGTACAAAATACCTCAATTTAGGAATGAATGGAAAATTAATGAAGAAGCTAACTTAGCAGACTATATGAGGAAAATATTAGAAAAACAAAGCAAAAATCCGTAAACTCTTTAAAATGACTAAAACTTCCACTGGCCTAAATCTGACCATGACTGACCTAGACCCCAAATTACCATGTCTACCAATTTGCTTATGGGCATATAGTGCTGACACAGACCCAATGTTCACAGTATTTGTATGCAGAAACGTTAATATGACTGAACCAGTCACAGAAAAACAAACCCATGATAGGGGAGTCAAAGTAGCATTGGTTAACAAACTCACGACAGATGATTGGTTCCACGTCGCAACCGGTATCTCAGCCACATATAACAATTGGTTACTCTAAGCTGAGCAAGCAGCCAACACCGTAAAAGCTGATTGTGTAGTGTGTTTGGGTCCTAGACCTATACTTAAAGTAGTACCTGCAGCCATAAACTTAACATGTCTACAAACCCTATTGGGACACAATATATCCAATAACACCTTTTGAGAAAGAGAAGCCTATTTTTAATAAACATGTCGCTAAAGCTAATTATTCTTGTATCCACATGACTGGAAGTGGTGTGCGTTTAGACAATCTCACAGCCTCCTGGGGTGTTGACATTTTCGAGGTCAGCAACCACTTTCAGCCTGTGTCCCGAGGCGATGTGTGGTGGTGGTGTGGCAAAGATAAACTTTATGATAGATTGCCAAGGAATGTGATAGGACACTGTGCTTTAGTGTCCCTTTTGCTGCCCACCTCCTAAACTGCAATTATTATGGGAACAGAGCATCTCTCTGATTTGTTAATCCATGCCGGAATCAGGGACACAAGATACAGCTCAGGACTCACTCGCCTTTGTAAACTTTTGTCAAAGCGTGTGGTTCTGGCTGAATTGGCAAGCCAGCTACATGTTTGTGACATCATGAACTCTGCAGAGTTTATGTGTATAGTTCCACTTTAAATATAACACTGACAGCAAGCTACAGATGGATAAGCACAGACTGCATTTTTAAACCTTTATGTAAGTTGTAACTGCTTCACAGATGGGGCTTCTGTCTCAAACCTAATGATAACCAAAACTGTATTACTATTAACAGCTAAATTAGAACTATGCTGGAAAGTGAAACAATGCACTAGTTGTATTGTTGTAAACTGTTTATGTGTTTGAGTTTTAGAGTTTTAGGTTAGCATTTGCTTAGAGAGACAAACTTTATTAACACAGTGGTTTATTTACATAATATTATTTGCATAATATGTAAAAGATGTTAAAGGTGCTGTACCAGATTTTTAGTCTTAAAAACTTTTTAAACAGTTTGCAGTGGTCCAAAGTTATTCCTTACATACCATACGAGGTCCTATCATAATAATTCGCAACAATGAGATTATTAGCATGCTTCACAACTTCCAGAGGGCAGATCAGGGTTTTCGCCATCATGGTAATGCTAACTACAATACAACAATGAATTCATTTTATGAATGAGAATGCATGGGGCAATAAGTGAGGATTTAAAATACAAAACTGACTTAAACAAGACACTTTCAGGAGCCTGCCCATATGGAAAAGGTATAGACAAACATACACCGTTTTAACAT